AAACGTGAATGACAATCTGGTAAATAACCAAGACCAAAACCAATAGGAATTCGTGTAAACAGAAACCCAAACGAACCAGGAAACATTCGATGAGTCGACTCAAAACTGCATATGAGTCGACTCATGACCTCGTATGAGTCGAATCATAACTGATGAGTTGACTGGTCAGAGACTTTTGCTAACAGGGCTTGAGTTCTTGAGTCGACTCATGACAGGCATGAATCGACTCAACCTGATGAGTCGACTCATGTACATGTATGAGTCGACTCACAGGCTGAAATCTGGATTCTTCAAATCTGTTGCTCATCGTCTCATTCCACGCTTTCTCCTGCGTTCCACTATACTGATTGATGTTCGCGGGAAAAATCGTTGCTTTCTTCATTGATTCCATTGCTATCTTGAATAACAGTTTTTCGGTTACAAAAGATCCGGTCTTTTTTAGATCCGGTTACAATGAAAATAAAAAAAAATAAAGAAAATTACAACTCTTTCTCTTTTGTCGAACAGATCGCGAGCTCCTGTTTTGTGGTCGCTCGCTTTGGTGGGTTGTTTGCCTGCGCCGGGGTTGTTTGCCATGGACCACCGCGATATCTAGATCCGAGCAGATCTACGCAGTATAACGGGTATTATTTTACCAAGGAAATAATAACCGGAGGGATTATTTCACCAAGGAAACAATCGCTCGAATCTCAGGATCAAAGACCAAGCTTTGATCCGGAGTGTAACAACGTAGATCTGAGATCTCGATCCCCTCGAACTCCTGCCTTTTGTGATGCGGGTGCTCGCCAAGAATCAGATCTGGACGTCCAAGTCTTCAAGCCTTCAAAAACTCCAAGATGAGGTCTCAATCCGGCAGAGTTTCGGCTCCCCAAAAGTTCTTCCAAAAAGTTACCCCAAGGTGGCTCGGCTTTGGCCGAGCCACCTCGGGGTGGCTCGGCCTTGGCCGAGCCACCCCAGGGTGGTTCGGCTTTGGCCGAGCCACTCCGGGCTTTGTGTCCGTCTTTCGGTTGTTTCGGTCCTTGTATCCGCTTCATCCGTGATTCGGTTATGCGATTTGATTGGTCTGAAACTGATTCATTGACTTGATTCCTGATTTGGCAATAAATCCGACTCTGAGTTTGATTCCAAAACTGATCATGGCGCGATCGCGATTCATCCGGGTTCGCCTGCGGCGTTGCTCTGAACCCCGATTTGTTCTGAATCCTGATTTGGAAGTCTGGATCCCGATTAGGCAGTAAATCGGCTTTGGTGTCTGAGTTCGAGTCCGTTATATGGTTGGATGACTCGTTGACGCCCTGGACCGTTGGTTTGATTCCGCACACGAGTGGATTCATTCCATCGTTCACGTGCGGTTCATCAGCTTCGTAGCCTTGTTAATCCGCTTCGTTGCGTATCACTTGGCTTCGGTGTGGTGGACTGACGTTCGTGCTTGGATACGTCGCCCGATGGTTCATTAGTTCGTATTGAGCCGTGTTAAGGGACCTATAAGCAATTTTATATGCCTACAGATACCCCCTCCAAAGTTTTCCAGTCTCGTTCTTTTATAGAGGAGTCTGGAATACTTTGGATATGAATGGGCTCTTGGAATAGCTTCTATTCTCGATTCCTTCAATCCTCCAGGCTATTCGGTGCTTTGTCGAATGCTTGAGAGGGTTCCGGTGCTGCATTTATTGTCTGACCGTTGTCGGAATTTTGAATTTGAAGTCGATTCTTGATTTCCTGGCTTTTTAGCTCGAGTTAGTTGCTTCAACATGAAATTGACCATCGGTTGACGGCTTTGAATCTTCATTGTGACGCGTTGTCCGGCGTTTAACACAGTTTACACTCATAAGTATTTTGGAGTCTACACAGTTTAAGCTCTTAAGGAGTTGGAGCGGGGAGGTCTAGTTTATACTCATACACTCCTGGGAGTTATGTTGAGTTATCCTTAAGAATATTTTTAGAAAAATATTCTCCAGAAACTTCTCAACAAAGAGGAGGGAATAGTTTATACTCGTATACCTTATTGGAGTATTCTTTAGGTTCGAATAATCTGAACCGGCCCAGAAAATGTGCCAAAAAGGCAGTATTTGGGTTCAAAAATTTCTCCGACCTTTCCAAATATATGGTAGAGGGGTTAAATAGGTGAAGGACTGAACCGTAGGTTGATCAAAAGTCGTTTCAATGCTTAATTCAGCTCCAATTTGAATTCTGGTTCAAATTTGGTTCAAACTGGTTCAATTTGGCTCAGACTGGCTCATTCTGGTTCAATCTGGCTCAATTTGGCTCATTCTGGTCTGGTCTGGTCCAGCCAGGCTCAATCTGGCTCAATTGGGCTCATTCTGGCTCAACCTGGCTCAATCTGACTTGGTCTGGTTCAGCCCTGGTCTAGTTCAGCCAGATCTGGTTCAAGGCTATAAAAGGGGTTCTTTTTTTATTCTTTTTCTTTTTTTCTTCCTCTCTTTCTAGGGCCGGCCACCCCCTCCCTCTGTTCAGCCAGATCTGGTTCAAGGCTATAAAAGAGTTTTTTTTCTTTTTCTTTTTTTTTCTTTTCTCCCTAGGGCCGGCCGAACCCCTCCCCCTCTTCTCTTGATTTCTCTTCCCTCGAGCACCCATTCTCTTTCAAACCTTGATATTTGTCTTGGATCTGGCTTTCCTTTGAATCTTGGACTGAGGAATCTCCCAAAAATTCAAAATAAAAAGTTTAGGCGTCAGGCCGTGACACGGGAGATGTCGTGGCGCTTGACAGAGGAGCATGAGAGCGTCCATTGCGGCTACATTACTCATCAGGCGTTTCCTGGCTCGAGCAGAAGTCACATCACCGGATTGCGTCCCGGAGTACTGGGGCTAGATAGGCCGTGACACGGGAGATGTCGTGGCGCTTGACAGAGGAGCATGAGAGCGTCCATTGCGGCTACATTACTCATCAGGCGTTTCCTGGCTCGAGCAGAAGTCACATCACCGGATTGCGTCCCGGAGTACTGGGGCTGGATGCACCACCACGTAACGAGTTTCTCGCCACCGCTTCTACTTTGAGGAATCGCCTCGCTGCTCTAGGACGGGAGATGCCTGCGACGCGTCACAGGATTTATGGTTGGGTCCATTCTTTGGACAAGTTTTGGTGGACCCGTATGACGACGTATGTCTTGAGCCGATGGGGCGAGGAGTTGCACGCTTGTGGTTTATATGCAGCCGTTCGTGCCACCATGTATGGCTTGCCTGTCAGCGCAAGGCATTTCTGTGCTTTGTTCGAGCTTTATAATTCAGATTCGAACACTTTTCTGACCCGGCAAGGGGAATTGGGCTTGGCTCTTCACGAGATGCACAGGATTTCTGGCTTACCCATGGGACAGATGTTGTATCAGGAATACTTTCCCTCCAACCATGAATTAAGTCCTCTGAAGGATCGTATGCCTGATCGCTACGAGACTCTATGGGATCTCACTTGTCACTATCATATAGCTTTGGCGCAGTCTGAGCCTTTAGCAAAGAGGACTAAGACATTCGTGAGTCTGAAGCAGTTTGCCAATTATTTGTTCAAGAATCTGGAGAGTAATTCTGGCGAGGCTATTTGTGAGTTGGCTCCACTTACTCCCTCAGGGGTGAACAGTCTGCTGAAGAAGATTGGCGCTCATTCTTATACCACTAGCAGTTCTGAGGGTGGCTTTCCTGCAGGGACCAAGTTCAAATCATTCTTGTGGCATGCTACCGCACCGATTCGACCAATGACTCTTCTTGCCGGTTATCTCGCTATCTGGTTGAAGAAGTGCGTTGTTCCATATCAGTCTGGCGATGCCTTGCCCTTGGAAGTGCTCTATCCAGCAGTTCAGCTCGCCTACAAGAAAGAACTCTCACTTCTTCCGGTGATGGTGGCTAACATTCACCGAGGACTTCGACAGCTTTCTGGTGCCTTTACACGGAAGGAAAGTGATTTGCCGGGTCAGATTCCCACCATTAAGACGGAGCTCCCGTACACTTACTTGATGGCTTGGTTTGTCCTTCACCGTCCCGATATGATGTCGGTACCGAGCGCCACAGATCATTCCGTTCCTTTACTACAATTGCTTGAGAACGGCAAGTGGGAGGGGCGCAGATTTTCTGACGTCAGGCACCAGCTGCAGGTCCACAAGTGTTGGACATTTTCCACTTGCTTTCCGCAGTTCTCCGGCCGATACGGCGATAGTTTGACAGATGAGGAGAGGCCGAGAGAGTATCGAACTCACTTGGACATCGGCTGCTTTAACTGGCTAGTGAACATTAGGCCAGGCTATCTGACTTTTCGGGTGAGGAATCAGTGCTT